GAGGCAGCGACGGAAGCGGCGGTTTTCGGACCAGAAAAATCAATCAGGGGAGAAAAACCAGAGCTGCCACAAAACTGTTAACTCTGCACCTCTGACTCGCGGTGATGTGCGTGTGTGCGTGCGTCGGTGCTGCATGGTGATGTGCGTGCGTGCGTGTGTGCGTGCGTCGGTGCTGCACACAGGCGTCGTGTGTATTTACAGTTATTGGTTTTTAAAATGGCTGCGTTCAATTTCAAAAGGTGCTTAAAAAACAAACACAAACGACGATGGGCTGCACGGTCGGCCCTGTCAGCGTTCCCGACATACAGTCTGCGAAGTAATACTCACAATAGGAACGGTTTTAACTGCGATGCTCGCAGATTACTCTGTCAGCTGCTTTTGTCTTCGTCGAGCTACGAACTGTGAAAGCGCTGCGTGACGGTAGCTTCGTTTTTGGACTTTATTATCTCAAGGTTATTCGTTTCCGCTAACGAACGAGGCAGTGTTTGTTGATCGTGTTTGTTGAGTGTTTACGAAGACGTACTACGACAGCAGTACTACGACAGCAGTACTATGACAGCAGTACTTTGACAGTACCAGGTTCTGTTTCCTGTTGGATAACGACGGACGATTGTTATGCCAGTTTTATGGGACTCTGTTGACCGACAAAAAAAAAAAAGAAAAAAAAAGAAGGTTTTTGATATGAGTTTTCTCAAGAGGAGAAATAATTTATTTGAGAAGTCATGATTCAGTTGTGTGCCCAGAGGGACGCTGTTTGTTTTGGAAAATGTCATTTCTGAGAATTAGCCCTGGTTTTAAAGTAGGAGCGACTGAGGCGGCGTGGAAATCCAAACAGAGGCCGAGCTTTTTCAGTTTCAGTAATGAATGTCCATTACAGACATCTGGAGGCACAGTTGTTACACACACACACACACATGCTGGTGTTTTTGTTTTGTCAGCCTCCATACACTCTTTGGTGAAATGACCAAACCCATGCCAAAAAGTTTCCACAGCAAAAACAACCGTCGTGTCTCTGCGTGTCCTCCATTTAAGTCCAAATAATTTTGCGAGCAGTGATTTTTGTTCAGGCTGATGATTCTCAACCTGCATCTCTGCATCAGTTTTTGTTTTTTGTTTATTTTTTTTCAAATGTTTTCTAGTTTAAGCTTCGGCCAAAATGAATCATTTCAACAGTTTTTGCTCTTGAAATGTGGTTTAAAAATCTGATGTTCCTTCTGATTTCAGCTGTTTTAAGTTCACGTTTTTCAACCCACGAACATTTTTCACAGGTTTTTACACGTTTTTACATCATAGCATTCGTCCTGGAACTTTTTGATACACAAGGGTAAAGACTGGCTTAAAAAGCATTGAAACACTTCATGTAATGTAGGACTGGAGCCACGGCTTTAGACACGGAGATCATTTCATTGCCATGAATTTCCATCTCTAATCTCTGATTTAAAACACTTAGGCCTGTATCACAGCCACACACACACACTCACACACACACACACACTCGCTCCTGTTTATTCCGTAGTCGAGTGTTTGATGGTGAGAGTGTGAAGATGTGCTGAACATCCTGTCATGGCCGTCATATTGACTCCACCATCAATAATGTCACGGCGCATCATCCACTCATCTGCCCCGAGCCAAGAACTGTTTTACAGCCATCTTTAAAGTAGCCAACAAATTCAATATCCACCTGTATCTGCACAGGGAGTAGTATTACCACGTGTATTTGTAGTTTTCTACAGTAGTATGAGTAGGGCGTTCTGACCTCATTTTGACGTCACAAATGTCTAGCGACCCAAGAGGATTTTTGCTGTACTGTGTTAGCCAGCTTAGTGCACAGAGTACTCTGTGGAACTGTCAAGATGCACCAGCTCAGATACATTTTATATCATTTTTTATATAATGTTCTAGAGAGGATAATAATTGGTGGAAAAAAATTTCAAGCGACCCCATTTGAATCCCAGGCGACCCCACATGTCAGATACTTTTTATATCATATTTTATATAATTTTCTAGAGAGAATAATAATTGGCGGGGAAAAAATTTCAAGCGACCCCATTTGAATCCCAGGCGACCCCACATGGGGTTGCGACCCCTAGGTTGGAAAAACAGAGGCTTCAACTTGGGGTCAGACTAGCCTCACTGAGGGGATGGTCGTCAACAAGTCAGGGTGTAAAAACCCAAACGGACCCCGGAACCATCCCATAATAATTAATAACATGTCAGTTTGATTCAGTTTCCAGTGAATTTTCTTTTTTAAGAAAATATTGTTCTGTACAGTTTCTATTTGTTTCCTGGAACATTGATATAATTTTAGTCCAGGTACAAAACACAGACCAACTTCTTCAGGCTCCTGTTCAGACTTTCACAAAGCACTGACACGGGCATCCCTTCTGTGTGGAGACACCCACTGGCCCAAATTGAGATTTACATGAAGTGGAAGCGGATGTGACCGCGTCGGTGTCAGTTTTTAGCACTGTATTTATTTTGGGTTGTTTTCGTGGCCCGCGCGGGGTGTAGGCCAGACAAGAGACGTGGGCCGGTGCTCCATATATTTATGAGTTGGCCAGCTCATGTTCTATTAATATCCAACCAGCGGATGTCCCAGAGGACCCTCAGCTCTAGGCAGGGTCTGTGGGTGCCATGCTGAAAGATGGCTTCATGGAAGGGGGGAGAGAGGAGGGGGAGAGAGGGGGAGAGCGGGGGAGAGAATGGATGGATGTGTATCTAATGCAGCAGTTTTAGTGCACGGTGTTATGGGCTGCAC